TGTGTGTGTGTCTGTGTGTTGGTTCAGGGATTGTTGGCCAGTATCGGTGTTGTTTTTGTGTGTTTGCACTGCATCTGGTAAACAGCTCTGACCTTGAATACACTTCGCTGTTCAAATTCACCTCAGCTATGGTGTCATTTACATACACATATTAGTGTGTGTCGATGTGTGTGTCTGTATACAGTAAGGACGTTTCTCAGGCTTTGCGAGTTGTTGCGTGTGCTGATGTTATCGGTTGGTCTGTATTTGTGTGCGGATATGTGTGTACTTGCCAGTATTTTACTCCCCTAATGAACTATTTCACATACTGAATTCATTTTATTTAGCATTGAAGTCCAAATGAAAATGAGGGAATTTCTCCCTGCACCGATGGGTGCTTTTGCAGAAGAATAAATTGAGTTTAATGATTCTCTACATATGTATTTATGCAGATGTGTTATTTTTTCATTTATAGATCTTTCTCTTTATCTCTTATCCATTGCTGCATCTCATTCTGTCTGCTACCATGATTCTTCCTCTTTCTCACTTTTTCCTCTTCTGTGGACTTTGTGTCTTTGCACTCCTCCCCCCTCTCTAGAGAGAGTTAATCTATTTGATGGGATGAACTAAAATGAATATAGTTTCAGTATTATGCAATTTTGTCATTTAACAATTTTCAAATTGATTTTGTGATGGAAACCGATGGAGCTTCCCCTTGATGATGTCCTCAGGGTAATATTGGCTTGAGCTTGGACACGACATAATTTTATTACCTGCGCTACAAACTTTTAAAGGTAATTAAGTTTGTGGGTTTGTCTCTCTAACTACACTTCATGTCTAAGTAAACAGTGGGATGTTGAGAATTAAATTCCAAAATAATTTCTCACTTTCCTATTGCAAAATGAACTGAATTCACTGTACGAACGCGTCACAATTGAAATACATGGTTCCCCGTCACTAAACATGCAACAAAACATAAAAAGCCACCTTAAACCTCAACGTCGAAACAAATGCAGCAGAATCATGCATATCCGTAAAACAATACTTTATGGTTGTGCTGGCCTCTCTGTCCTCTACTTTGTTTGACTGAGGGCAGGGCTCAGCTCCTAGACAGGCACACACACATGGTGAACAGCAGATATAGAGCACAGTGGAGACAGTGAAGTAACAGCACACTTGTTAAGCTGATAGCAAATTGTTACGGACAAGCTAAAATGAAAACTATCTGCATGTAGTCTGTTTATCTTAGTTGCAGCCAGTAAATTACAACAAAAAAAAAAAAGGCAAAGGGAATTGTCATAAGTCATTGGATTCGTGTGTAAAATTGTTGACATGCTGCTTCCCCCTCAGAGAGGAAGGGGAAAGGAAGAGTTGTGGGGTAATAGAGAGGGAGAGAGATGATTACACAGACATGTTGTAGACAAATATGGACGGAAGGAAGAAAAAGTTGAGTGCAAAAGAAGTGGATTCATATATCTGCTATTGGAGCAAACTGCTATTGATCTGTCATCCACACAGCAAATGCCTTTTTCGCTTCAAAGGGTGGGAGTCAGTGAGAACAGCTTTGTGTGTGTGTGTGTGAGGTGAAAGAAGAATGGGTTTTTGACAGTTCAGCTGATTAAGGTGCTAGCAGTGAGGAGGAGGGAGGAAGTTTAGAAGAAAAAAAAGACAGAAAACTGAGTGGGAGATTAAATGATTTATGGGAGATCTGAAAGGAGAGATAAATGACAGGCAAAATATCAGATTGCAAGAATGGGACCAGAAGAAAAAATAAAGCAGGTGATTAGTGTAGAGAGGGAGAGAGTGAGAGAGAGCGAGAGAGATGAGAGGATGTGATATCTTCAGACGCTGCTGTTTTCCTCTCCAGCTCCAGCATCTCTACTTTCAGTCACATGTGCGGGTGCAAGCACATAAAGGACACACAGTGAAGATTGTGCAATAATCCCAGCATGTGTTGTGTGGCAGCTTTGCACTCTGAGAAGTGATGACTGTATGTAAATTGTGCTTGGGTGGATTGTGCGTCTGTGTATCAAGTTGTCATAAACTCGTTTATCATCAGACACAGCCATATCACTGAGCTACATCTGCAGCAAAATGCTGTAGATGCAGAGCAGCTGCTTTTGCTGTGTGGTTTTCATCCTCTTTGTTACCCTTTTTATTTTTCCTCATCCAGCTGCTTATCTTTCTCTCCATCTTGCTCCATCTTTCTTTTGTCTTTCACCCACTCCAGTCTTTTATTCTCAGGACCTTTTGTCGGTAAAGCTTTAGTTTTAACCCACTGTTTTTTAACATGTGTGGCGTAGGTGTCTGTTTTGTTAAATGTTCCTCCAACCATTTGTGAGTATGAAATAATCACCTCCCGCAGGCTTCAAAGGTGCTTTCACAAAGCATGGCAGCTGGGGTCAGTTTCAAGTGATAGCATTTTCATTGGACACCAATATAGACTGTGTTTCACATGTTGGGGAAAAGATAATCAGGATATCCTCATAAACATAAACTCAAGCTCATGAGCAGACGTTTGTTTAGCCCCCTTGCGCCGAGTTTGTTCATCAGAATTTTAGTTGACTGCTACTGTTTCCAGGTCAGTTACAGTTACACACCAGAAAGACAGCAAATTATTACCAACTGCTGACTTTTTTTGTTTTGTATTCACTCTTTGCTAAATGTGATACAGAAAACAGATGTAAAGCTGTGCTTTGTTTTCTGTAGAAAGCACAGAGTTTAATGAGGAGTGAGTACAGAGCAGTTCTCCTGACCACCGGAAAAGCAAGAGTCACCTATTAACACGCTTACACTAGATAAAGTGTACTGAACTGTATTTTGGTGTAGTAATGGCAGGATTAGTAAAGTATTGGTATATATTGTAGCCAAAAGCAATCACATTTGCTGGACTCCAGAAACAACCATGACTATTCATGGTCCTTCAATCTCCATTCAATCTCTCTGATTTGCTGCATCATTATTCCACTAATCACATCCTCAATGCCGACTTGTATTTGTTTTGCTTTTCAGTGACCAATGGTAGTTATTCTCACATGGATGAGGAAGAGGATGGGGAGCTGTATGGACATGAAACAGAGTTCAGTAACTCTACCCAACACTCCTATCTACAGGAGAAGTATGTGGTGATGTATGTTTTCTTACAAAGTCGGTATACAGAGTGCTTTCTACAAATTATACCAGTTGAAACAGTAGTGTTAAATAATAAAGCAATGAGAATAAAATACATAATTAAACTAAAACAAACATTTCCCTCTTTAATCATGTCATTTAGTCAGCTGGAGCAGTGTTTTCTTGTTTATCACTCTTTTCATCAACACTATCTTCTTTACTAATTGTTCCACACACATACAGTATGCATAAGTTGTTGAGGAAAATATGTTGGAAATATTATTAGTCTAGTTTAGTCTAGGTATTTATTTTCAAAGGTTCTGTTTAAAGTTAAATTAATATGTTCCAAAATGATTTCTGTCAAATGTTTTGTCATTAACTGTTTTAACACTGTAAGCCAGTATCAACAACATTGTCTGTAGTGACTGTCTAATCAATGTGTTCCAGGGAAAATTCTCACACCTCTAGCCCAGCTCAGCCCCAGGCTCCTACCCAGGGCCAGAACCAGCGGCAGTTCCAGCATGTTAAAGCCTCCAAAAGCATGGACCTTGGTACGACTCAGAACCAGCAGCCCACTGGTGGGGAGATTTTTACTGTTTATATGCTCTGCATGGTGGCCGCATGCATCTTTCCATCACAGCAAAGTTGAATATTCCTGCTGATGCATGGCTGCTGCACCAACGGCATGCCCCTCAAAGCCACGTGCAGGCATGACACCTCTGCAGACATGCACTGCATACCTAATAATAATAATAAAACCATACTCGCAGCTACATGTGTAATGGTGGGGAACCATTTATGCCTGTTGCATGATTTCTGCAGTGTGTGTGTGTGTGTGTTTGTGTGGTTGTGTTCTTTTTGCTTATTTGGATGGAAAAATATGTTATCTGATGGATCATCCAGACATGGTTTGGTGTGTTTATCTGGTGTGGATATCAGAATAACATCCACGTCTCTGATTGCTTCCCCAACTGTCTGCATGAAAGCACGAATGAAATGCATGAAAGTGTCATACATTGAAGTCTGAATCGTGGTAATATTTAAAACATAACTCAATTATATAATAATCAATTATATGCTCGATCGATATCAAAAGAACAAACTTACAGAAAGAAGATTCGTATGGCAGAATAAGAAGGAAATAGATGACAGGTGACAGAGAGGAAATATACATTTAACACAGAGATTGAAGCAGCAGGAGGAAGTGGAGAGACAGTTGATTGCCTCTTTGCCTTGCAGTGTTTTTCTTTGTGACTACCACAGTCCCAGTGGCTGGAGAACACTCTGATCTTACTGCAGCAAAGACAGGTGACACTTGTATGAATATAAGGTTACACAACTCCTTCCTTTTCACTCTCACCACTAATTAATTTGTTCTAAATATCTGACAAAGAAAATTAGAATGGGTCACAATTTGACCCACAATTCATCTTTATCATGGCCTTTTATTGATGCAAGAAAAAAGAGAGAACTACTACTACTACTACTACTTCTGCAGCCACTGTGGTCTTTCCACATCAGCTTTGTCACCTGTTGCTCTCTGATTACTGATATTTTGACGCAAGGCTTCGGTGACATTTCACTGATTAAAAAAAAAATCAACTTTAGAAATATGTGCAAGTGTGTAGTTAATGTCTGGGCTCATACATACATCTGTGTAATATGACAGTGGATGGTGTAGCACAACAAAAGCTTATTGTTTCAAATGTCACTTCCCTCAGTCCTCCTCCTCAAGTTGGCTCCACTGCCAGCCTCTACGTATGTGTGTGTGTGTGTG